TTAAAAATTTTATTACCAACAAAAATACGCATGAATTTTTCACATTTTAATATTATATGACTTATATAGGATCATAAGGATAAAAATGTAAATTATTAATAAAACTCCTCCCCCCTTCTGAACCAAACACATTTTTAATTAAAATCCCTCTCTTCCCCTCCCCTCCTCTCTTTTGAACCAAACACTTATCTGATTAAAAAACTCACTCCCCTCCTCTCCCTTCTCCTTCATTAAAATTCCTCCCCTCCCCTCCCCCTCATTTGAATCAAACAGACCCTTTAAGATATTATTGATGAATGTATAATGTAACATAATCATGTTCAACCTTAACTTATAGAAAGATATTGCTAATAATTCATTTTTGTTTTGGCATGCATAATGTAACATAAGCATGCATAAAGAGAACATGTTGAAAATTTTGGCTATATTGTAAGGCACCTAAGAGTTAGTCTTATTTTAAATGTACAAATCAAACTATAGAAATATGTGTTATAAATTTAGAGCTCTAAAAAAAGTATAGAGCCAAGACAATTAAGTTGTCATCGTTATCTTACTGCTAACATTAAAAATTAATTGATCATAAGTATGTCCATCAACCTACCAGATATTCTAGAAGTAACACAACATATGCTAATCTCAATTTAATTTAACTAGTTTTTAGACAGATTCTCCCTACCTCTAAGAGATGCCAAAATATTTGATTTTTTTCTCAAACGTTAAGGAAACTAACAAATATTATGTTCCAGAGGTAACATAATTGTTCTGGTCTGGGCCCAGCCTCGCGGTCCAGCCCAATAACGCACAAGGCCCATTAAGTGGACTAGCCCGACCGGGCACACGCACCACCGTGGGACGGATAGGGCACGCACCCCGCCGGGACGGACGACACGTCCTGCAGCGTCCCAACGCCCCCTTTGTCGGTCGAACCGAGCACCCCCGGTCTGTCGAGCAAGACCCTTGGTTCTTCCACGTCCACGCGTGCTCCCCTCCGTGGGGAGAAAAACGTGCCCTCAGGGAGTCCCTCAAGCTCCCCTCCGCGGGGAGAACAATCTGCCTCCGGGGAACCTCCCGAGCTCCCCTCCGTGGGGAGAACAACGTGCCCGACACACGTTCTCCACGTGCTCCCCTTCGCGGGGACACGTCATCAACCAACTGTCCACCTCCGAAAGAGCAGGTCAAACCCACTTTCCGGAGATCAAGGAGCAGTTGGACTAGGGCGAAGACCATGTCCTGGTCTTCACTACGCCATGTAAGCCCTAACAGTCACCTGGGTTGGGCCTGGCAATCCAGCCCAACGCAAGTGACCGTTGGCCCAACGCTGGGGTCTCTCTATAAATACCCTCTTGAGGAAGAGGGTCAGGTAACACACTTCTTACCCCTTTTCTGTACTTTGCTCTCGCTCTGCCCAATTTCTCACTTTGGCATCGGAGTGTCTTGCAGGTACACCCCCATTCTCCTCCTCATCACCGGTAAACAAGCAGCAGTCCAACAACGTGTGGCCAGTCCGTGATCCCCTTCTGATCAGGTCAGATCAGTGGCGCCGTCTGTGGGAACAGAAACTTCCCCGTTATTCCGAGCAGAAAACCAAAGTTTCACCAACACTCCACGATCATGGCTAGCCCACACCGCGATGACACTCCACACGACCTCGTGCTCAACGTCGCCACCAACGGAAACAAGCAGATGGAAACGACGCGTCCGGCGGAAATCGACGAGAGAGACGGCCAAACTGCCTCACCGTCATCCGCGGAGCGGCCCTTTCAGGCCGACCACCGGCCCCCGGGCCCGACAGCATTCCAACCCGTTCCCATCCCGGCGGGAGCGGACCCAACTGTGGCCGCCCTCTTTACGGCCATCAACCAGACGAACCAGCTGCTGTTCCAGCAAAACGCGAGAATTGGAGCATTGGAACGCGTCGGCCCTCCGAGGTACCCCCCGCGGGAAGACCAGAACGGAGGTTCGAGGAGTCCCTCACCTCGACCCAGAAATCGCCAGCCACGGCTGGAGAGACACCATGCACAGGTAGCGCGAGAACGCACCAGGTCCCCAGCAAGACAAGTTCGTGAGAGGGACCAGAGCACTGCGGCGATCCCGGCCGGGGATCCTCGAGGCGAAAACCCAGGCAGGAGGTCGAGAACCCGAAACCAGGGCCCTATTTTGAACGGCTCGTCTCCCCATCGGTCCCCGGCACCCAGCGACGAGGACGATTACCGCACCCCGCTGTCCCGAGAAATCATGGCTGCCCCCATACCCCAAGGGATGGAGAAGCCCCCGACGCCGTCGACGTACGACGGCACATCTGACCCGAATGATCACCTAGAAGACATCGAGGCCATGCTCGATTACCGAAACGTCCGGGGACCTATCAAGTGCAGGCTCTTCCCGACGACTCTGAGGAAAGGCGCCATGACCTGGTATAAAAGTTTGGAGCCCGATTCAGTTACGTCGTGGAGAGTCCTGAAGGACCTGTTCTCCAAACACTTTACGGCGTCCCGACGCCACCCGAAGACGGAAGCCGTCCTCGGGGCGATCATCCAGGGCCCCGACAAACCTCTCCGAAAGTACATCGAAAGATTCACTCTGGAAGCAGTGCAAGTGACGACGTCAGACGAGATGAAGCGCTACTTAATGGAACAAGGTCTACGCCACGACTCCAAGTTCTACGAGGCCGTAGGCATACAACGGCCAACCTCCCTCCAGGATTTCCTCGGAAGAGCCGCACATTATATCCGATTCGAAGAAACACAAGCGGCCAACTCCGCTCGAGACACCCGAGACAGGGAGGCCCCTCGCGGGCACCGAGACGACGGAGCCTCAAGCCATCGACGGGGAGGGAACCGCCGTCACGAAGATCGGCCCCGCGAGCCCCACGGACAACGCGAACCGCGCGGCCCTGCCGGCCGATTCACAGAGTACACGGCCTTAGTCGCTTCCCGCGAGCGCATACTGGCCGAATGCGCCAAAATCGAATTCGTGCAGGGAGGTGTCCGTTTTCCGCGACCGACACCCCCCAAACTCAATGTGGACAAATCAAAATACTGTCGATTCCACAGGAGCCACGGGCACGTGACAGAAGACTGCATCCATCTCAAGGACGCGATCAAAATTCTGATCAAAGACGGTCACCTGAAGAGATACACCCGAGGAGGCGAACCACCGAGGCAAGAGGCCCCAGAGGCCAAGAAAGTCGAGGAACTCCCCTCTCCAGAGGACAACAGCAGGCTCCAGGTCGCACTTTGCGTCAGCCGCCCCGAGGATTGGTTCGCGGACAGAGAATTCGGTCTTCCCGAAGGACCCGACCTAATCGACGAACCAATCCGACCAACCAGCCGCTGGGAATACTTCGCCAGAGCCATGGTCATCTCAGATGGAGCCACGAGGAGCCTGTCCATAGGATCCGTGAAGAGAAAATTCGACGAGCTTATCGCGAACAACTCCGGAAAAATGAGCACGCTCGAAAAATTCCAAGGTCGATCCAATCCGATCACATTTTACCTCGAGGAACTCCCCGGGGGATCCCCCAACTCCAACATTCCCCTGCTCATACGTGCGCGGATGGCGAACTTCGATGTCAGGCGCCTCCTCGTCGACGGTGGAAGCTCGGTTGACATCATGTACACACACCTGTTCACAACTCTCCAACTCGACGAATCCAACCTTTCCCCTTACGTAGGCTCCGACCTTCAGGGGTTCAACGGGACGACGACGAGGCCTTGGGGGTACGTGGAGCTGAAAGTCACCTTCGGAGAAGAGGAAACATCCAGGGAAATCAGCATCCGCTTCTTAGTCATCGAGTGCCCATCCCTCTACAACTGCATCCTGGGCAGGACAACGATAGCAGAACTCACCGCGGTACCCTCCACCGTCCACCTGAAGATGAAATACTACATAAAACGGGGGGCCGTGGTGACCCTTGACGGAGACATCGAGGCCGCCCGAAGGTGTTTTGAGGCCACGCTGAAAGGTCTAGACTCCATCGCTCCAGCGAACAAGAGGACAACTCTAATCGTAACACCAAAGGGCAAACCAACGAAGCTAGTCGGATCCGTGGAACTCGACAGTCGCTTCACCGAGGAGCACGACCCCGAAACAAAGACCAGCGAGGTCAACGGGCAGCCCTCCCACCCAGCGCGCCCCATCCCGGACGGAGAATTCAAAATCATCACACTCGGGGAAGACATGAGCAGAACCGTGAAGATCGGCGCCGGACTCCCAGACCTCGCGAAACGATAGCTCCAAGCCTGTCTCCGCGAGAACGCCGACCTCTTCGTCTGGAGCACCGCGGAAATGCCCGGCCTCGACCCCGAGGTCGCCTGCCACCAGCTAGGGGTGGACGGCGGTCGGTTATGGGTGGGTTCGGGTTCAAAATAGTTAACCCGAACTAATCCACGGTTGAAAAAGTTGAACCCAATTTCACCCAAGACTAAGTTCGGTTTTATCGGTTGGCGGATTATCGGTTTAAACGGTTTATTCGGCTGGGTTGAATCGGTTTGTCAAAACAAATACAAACAAGTTTTTAGCATGAAAAACCAAATTTTAACAGCAAAAGATGCAACCATGACAATGTTAAAACATCATAGATCAATACATGTATGTTAGTCCCTCTGCCTATATGCAACCAGGACATTTTTAGTGTGCTGTATTGGGATGTTAACAAATGGCTGGTATAACAGACTGTATACAGTAACAGGACAGGTACTGTTAGAGATACTATAGTGTCTATGTGTGTCTGATGTTTGAGTCTAGAGCTAAATGTTGATGAGCAATGATTTGTATCTTGTTGCATACATGCAGTATAGGGATGAAGAAACAGACAAGTATGCTTCCAAGGTTCAGAAGGTTAACTTCTTTTCATAATTGACATATTCAGATATTTGACAAAACAAATGTTTTGGTGCTGAAATATGCAATTATCCAGCATAGTTGATTGAAATAAATTCTATTTGTTTGTCATAAAATTCATTCAGTTTCCATTTGAAATTTGCAGGCGGTTCGATCTTTCAACTTGACTTGTAAACATCGGACAAACTTCTCATAGCAGCTTGAGCTGCAGCTTGTGCAACCTCTATCCCTGCCAAAGCAGAAAGGAAAGCAGCCTGCAATAATTTGAACATAAAAATTATTAAGAAACAAAAGAACTTTCAAATAAATCATCCACCCTTCAACACGGTTCATATTCAACACAGATCAATAATAATTCAAAGAAAACAAGGATCGTTATATAGCACACATCATGATTCTTTGTTGCTAAACGTAATCAAATGAAGTTAATTAGCGATAATTCAAAGAAAACAAGGATCACTTTAATCCAAGAAAATAACCTGAGCCATGATAGGATTGCTTGCATCAGCAAGAGGCGTGAGACGCATCCTCTTACTAGATTTACCCAAGCCAGCAGTTTCTGATTCACATCCAGCATTAACGGAAGGCTTCAACAGATCAGAACAACTATCATCAGCGAGATGAGCAGACTCGAAGCGTTGAGAATGCATGAACTGATCCCAAAAAGTAAGCTTGAGAAAACGAGCAACACATTCCTTATCAGTCTTTCCAATAACATGATGAGAAACCCTCTTCCAATCATCACTGAAATTCGTAATACATTCAAGAAGTTTCAGAGTTTCCTTCTCAGTCCAATCAGGCTTAGTCTCCTCACTTATCTCCACTCTCTTGAAATCAGTATTACTCGTCCCAACTTTATAGCTTCCGCGAACAAAACACCTCGCACATAGAGTCATATTATTGTGCATCTAAACATACAAATATAACAAAAACTTGAGCATATCAACTTTATAATGCAACAGTTAATTGATAATTTAAAAGAAGTCACCTCCTGCTGAAGATTATTCCATGTACCAATTCCTGTCGCAGAGACATTAGACATTGAAGACGCCATAGGACTAGGACTTCTATGCTGATGTCTATCAAAGTCACCAAAACCTTGGTTGGACAACATTCCAGAAACTCTCAATATTTCTGCAACAGATGTAATATTGTAATCAGAAACCACTGCATTCAATCGAAAAGTTATACAAAAAATGGCCAAAGAATCTACAACCATGGAATAAACTATAGATAGATGAAACATGTACAGAAACAAAAACACATGCATATCACATGTTCATAGATGGGTCACATTGCAACATCAGTGTTATCAAGAACTCCTTTGAAAACAGGTCCATATCCACCTTCACCAATTTGGGCATCAAGCTTTTTCTGCTTGATCTCTTCTAAATCCAATGCAGCCTGTTCAATAAGCCTAGCTTTTTCTCATACATGCTTAAAATTTTCAAACTATTGTCATTGATGATTGAAATAAGAGTGACTTACATCTTGGTTTTCGTCTAATACTGATATTCTTGATGGATAAGCATCTCTTTGAGACATACATCTTGATCCTAGTCTAGCATCCATGTTTTGACCGAAGATTCCACCGTCGTTATTTAAGCGCCGCCAGAGTCTAGGTTCGAATGATGTTCTGAACAAACGAGCATGACAGAATCACTAAATTAAGGACTAAACCTCGACGAATTTATCTTAAAAAATATCATTTTTTTGACATAACTGTAATTTATACCTATGTAAATCTTTGGACAGAAAACTTGGCTTCGGACTAGAAATAATCATAGTTTGAATAGGAACTGTTGCTTGAACATTCTGCACTTTTCCTTTTGATATTATATGCAGGTCGGTGCAACAAGCCACAATGTTTACCTCCAGGTAACATTTCACAGCAGCTGCCCTGTGCCGAGCTATGCTCCGCCAGACCTCATTCACCACACGGTCAGGCCACCATTCCAAATAGACAATACTCAGGCCATTTGAAAATTGGTAGTACCATCACGACAAAATGACCGGCATCTGCAGCGTGTATACGCTAGAAAAATGAGAACATAACAACATGAACCATGTATGATACATCTTCAAATGTCATATACAATTCATACCATTTCATGAGCAGAAAAAAAGCAAAACTGTTGTGTACGGGGAGCCGAAGCCACGCAAATTTTTGTACGCCGGCTTTTCAGTCATTGACGTACAGGAGAATGTAATGCTTCAATCAATACATCAAGCTGTGAAAAAATAAGAAATGAAGAGAAATGAGGATATGACAAGAAACTTACATGGCTCAGAATGTTAACGTAGCAGGACCTTTGCCTTCACGTGAGTTTCACGCGATGACGCGTCCACCAAGTCACGTAGCGAGCCGATTTTGGAAAAGTTGCAAAGGCAGCGCCAACAGCTACTCGTTCCCAGTCTTGGCCCAACCGTGGTCGCATACATACAAATTAACACAGGTTGGTATTGTCATATTGATCCAGAATTGCCCATCACCATGCTCCTCCAATTTATGTGCTCCATAATAGTGTCGTAACTTGCAAAAAACAGCCCGAAGTAACATCAGCATGACCTGCAAAATCATTATGTAGAACTTAATTTTCATGGTACATAACAAAAGTGATAACAAAAGTTCTAAGAAGAATATGAATAATGTTAGTCTTAGAAATTACAAAAAGGAGGTGCAATTTACGATCTTTTTTTTGCATCAAGATTCAGAGATCATACATCTTAAATTACATGTCAAGATTATACATGTGATCTCCAATTTGAGGTAGCCATTATTTAGTGTTACAATCATGCTATGCAAATAATCATGGTCTTAAAGAAGTTGTTAAGCTCCAAAAGGACCCAAGCATGTTGTTACCGGCATCAGCTATTGTGCAGCAACCACCATGCACTGCAAATACTTCTCTCGCACAATAATTGTTCTTCTTCAATCATGAATCTCAGGCTCCGACACACGATTGTTCGACAATCACCGCGGTGAAAAAACACGAACAAACACACTTTGTCGTCAACCTTCAACAGCCCTGTTTACAAACTCAAAACACCTTAAGGTGACCATACATCCACTTGTAACATACCTTGTAAATCACAACCTGTAATAAAAATAAATTACCATCATCAGGTTCTAATGCCGTCAGTCAAGAAATTGAAAGATCCTCAGTTCACATACAAGACCTTAATAAGCAGCAACAACAGCATATACATTTCCCATCGACATATGGAAGTAGTGATGGTAACTATAATCATTTTTCCGGGGCAACTACAAAGAAAGATCCTCAGTTCAAAAACAATATCAAACTGAATGAAGTGAAAACTGAATGAAGTAAACTACAAAGAAAGAGAATAATCAATATCAAACTGCTAACCAAATATGCGATTCCCATCTTCCCGTTCTCCGGTAGAACGTAACACCACGTTACTGCAAACTTCGCGACCTCGGTCCACGACGACTCTTCTTCACCTGCTGCGACCGTGGAGCAACGAGAGAGTGAATTTAGGGTTTCTTAATATGTTGAGAAAATGAGTGAAAAAATAGTAATATTTGTAATATATATTAATTGGACTCGGTCGAGTTCGGTTACCGACGGGTCCAATATTTCCATCCGAACCGACCCAAAGTAATCCATGTTAAACCGAAATAATCACCCGCCTGACCCGTTAACCCAATATAAACCGACCCGGAATACCCAATAGGATTCGGTCTGATCGGTTAACTTCGGTTGGTTTTATTTTGTCCATCCCTACCACCAGCTATCCATTAGCCCGACCGCGAAGGACGTTGTGCAACGCCGGCGTCGCCAATCCCCCGAAAAATCGGCAGCAGCCAAAAAAGCTGTAAAAGACCTCCTAGAGGCAAAATTTATTTCGGAAGCCCGGTATTCAACCTGGCTGTCCAATGTTGTACTCGTTAAAAAGAATAATGGAAAATGGCACATGTGTGTTGACTATACTGATCTCAACCGGGCATGTCCTAAGGACGCCTACCCCCTCCCCAACATCGACAAGCTCGTCGACAACTCCGCGGGCTTCAGGCTCTTGTCCTTCATGGACGCTTACTCGGGGTACAATCAGATCTCGATGGCCGAGCACGATAAACAGAGCACGACCTTTATGACAGCGTCGGGCAACTACTATTACAACGTAATGCCCTTCGGCCTCAAAAACGCCGGGGCCACGTACCAACAGATGATGAACAGTGTCTTCCACGACGAAATCGGCGACATGCTCGAAGTATACATGGACGACAGGATCGTCAAATCTTGCACGGAGGACGACCATACGACACACCTCAGGAAGGTCTTCGAGACCGCAAGGACGTGCCGAATGCGCTTCAACCCAGAGAAATGCACCTTCGGTGTCAGCGCCGGTAAGTTCCTCGGCTACTACTTGACCAAACGGGGGATCGAAGCCAATCCGGACAAATGCCACGCCTTCTCAGATATCACCACGCCCACCACGAAGAAGTCCATCCAATCCCTCAACGGCGTGCTCGCCTCCCTTTCCCGGTTCATTGCCAAGTCCGCCCAGCACGCCCTCCCATTCTTCAAACTACTCAGGAAGGAAACCAAGTTCGAATGGACGGACGAATGCGCGCAAGCCCTCTGCCACGTCAAACGCGTCTTGTCCGAACCACCAGTGCTGACACGTCCCGTGACGGGCGAAACCCTATACCTATATCTGGCCGTGGCTAACGAAGCCGTCAGCGCCGTCCTCGTCAGCGAAGTCGGGGAGGGCCAAAAGCCCATCTACTTTACTAGCAAAGCCCTCCACGGCCCCGAAATCTGATACCAGCTGATCGAGAAGGTCGCCCTAGCCCTCATCACAGCAGCACGCCGGCTCCGACATTATTTTCTCGCACATGCCATCGTGCTCCGCACCGATCAGCCCATCCGCCAGCTCCTCGGCCCCCCCGACATAGCAGGACGCATGCTGAAATGGTCGCTAGAACTCTCTGAGTTCGACATCACCTACGAGGGCCAGCACGCCATCAAAGCTCAAGTCTTGGCTAACTTCGTCGCTGAGATGACCCCGCCACCCGATCCCACCACCAGGAACCACATCTGGACCATTTTTGTGGACGGCTCCTCCAACTCCACGGGCAGCGGTGCCGGCATCGTCCTCGACAACGACGAAGGCACCCTCATCAAAGTCTCCCTCACGCTGGCCTTCCCGACAACTAACAACCAAGCCGAATACGAAGCATTTCTGGTCGGCCTTCGCTTGGCATCTGACCTTGGAGCCAGAGACATCCGAATCTACACAGATTCCCAGCTAGTCGCTTCGCAAGTACGAGGGGAATATCAAGCGAAGAACGACAACCTCGCCGAATACCTAGCGCTCATCACCGAAAAACTGCGAGGTTTCGACACAGCAGAGATTCAGCACGTCCCGCACGAGCAGAACACCCGCGCTGACATCCTCTCCAAGTTGGCAAGCACCAAAAAACGAAGCGGCCATAAGTCGGTCATCCAAGAAGTCTTGTCGCAACCGAGTACCAGTGTGACCACTACCCTCATTGACATCAACACCGTCAGGGATACTGACTGCTGGATGACCCCACTCCATGCCTACCTCAACACCGGCCACCTTCCGGCCAACCCCAAAGAAGCTAGCGCAACCAGACGACGAGCCTGCTCGTACGTTCTCCTCGAAGGAAGGTTGTATCGCCGAGGCTTCGCGATCCCACTCCTCAAATGCACAGATAAGTCCCAGAGCGCAGCTGTTCTAGAGGAAATCCACGAAGGCATCAACGCGCAGCACCTCGGAGGAAGATCCCTAGCACGAAAGGCTCTACGAGCAGGCTACTACTGGCCCTCGATGCAATCGGACGCGAAGGAACACATCAAACAATGTGACAAATGCCAACGACACGGTGACATGCACCTCGCTCCCCCAGCCGAACTCACATCCCTCTCCTCCCCATGGTCGTTCGCCTGGTGGGGGCTGGACATCCTCGGGCCCTTCACCCTAGGATCCTACCAAAATAAGTACCTCATCGTGGGCGTCGACTACTTCACCAAATGGATCGAAGCCGAAGCTCTGGCCAAAATCACGACCCACAACATACTCTGATTCTACAAACGAAACATCCTCGCCAGATTCGAGGTC